TATGTAGCGTGGTCTTATTAAGCTCAGAGTTCCTCACTGTCCTCCTCAGTGTTGCTCCCACTGTCCTCTGCTTCAGACTCCAGCGTGGTAAATGATGCTGCAGAAGTACTTCCCTGTCCTTGGTTTAGCCTCCCATTAGCTTTCTCGATCCACAGGTCTAGAGCTGGCTTTGGGTCAAATGTCTCTGTGGTCTGCCTTGACAGATGAATGTGCATCAGGGCTGAGAGACGAGCGTGTGACAGACGAGATCTGTACTTGTTTTTTATTATGCTGAGATGCGAGAATCCCCTTTCACAAGCTGCACTGCTTAAAGGCAGTGTAAGAGATAGCTTAACCACCTTGTTGATGCTGGAGTAAGTAACTGGGTTACTTGTTTTTACAATTTGGACCAAGTCATATACAGAGGAGTCGTGTTTCTGCCTGCTTTAAGCGCATCCATTCTGTCACAGTGGTGTCTTTATCAAGGTGCAAGGCGGCCTCATATTTCTGGAGAATGCTGCCAACTGTTGTGTTTCCAAAACTGTGGAGGTCTTTCATTTCCTCTGGCCATGTTGAATGATCAAATACAAAAAAATTATCACATGACTTGAGGGAGTCATATCTGATTTCAAACTCTTTAATTAAGCCCCTAAGTATGCGTGTCTTGTCTTTGTCAGCATCTACATTAGAAGCAGTGTGTGCCCTGTAGTGGCCTTCACCATCAAGCAGTAGTGTGAACTGTCCAATGGCCACCATGAGTTAATCTTTACATTCTCCAACGGTCAGCTTTTCCTTCTGAAAGTTGATGGATGTGGTCTTCAACATGTTTCCAATGTCAAGCATGTTCAACAGAAAGCACTGAAAACACTGTGCAGATTTGTTGCAAATCGCTGTCATCACTGGTAGCCAGTTGGATTTTAATGGCTGGCAGTAGTCTTGATATTTTTAACAGTGTTTCATGTCTCCGTGCAGATCATCTGATATTATGAAACTTACCCAGTTTCACAAAGGAGATCCCATTTTCTTCACACAGCTTCTTCAGTGCAGCATTTTTTTGCACCCTGTTTTTGTAAGTAAAACTGCAGCAGCTTGACCACAGTGCGATTTAATGTCTCACAGTAAGCAACAGTGCGATCGGCGGATTTTGCGCAATTCTCCAGTGTGTGCGCGGTGCACAAAATGTGCACAAGAGACTCTCCAACTGCAGCAAGTTCCCTGAGCTTTGGCACAATGACATTGTACATACCGACGTTGACAGCAGCCCCGTCGACCAACTTTGTTGTCCAGTTATCCAAGCCTGCATCCAGGAAAGTCTTACAAGTCCGTCTGTTATAGCCTACGCGGTTCTATCAGCACCCAGTTCAATAAGTCTGAGAAAGTTCAGCAGACTGCAGCTTAACTCTTAACTCCTCTCTGATGGTTTGAGCAATGGTCTGCATGATCCGTGTGCCGCCTTCACGTGAATGATATGCACCTCCGACATTTACTCCTAGCCGCTTCAGTAAGGGAATGTCCTCAGAAAAGGAAGACATAGGACATGCGTGTTTAGCTTTTTGGAAGGCGAGGAGAAACATTATTGAGAGCTTGCCACTGTTCTTCATTTAGTTTATCTTGCGATCTACCAAGTGGACGACTAGACAGTTCTTGTCGGCTAGCTTGTTTATTAACAATGGCTTGCACCACATTTCAGTGCGCTCCTCGTCGGCTTCAAGCCACGGCACGTCTTAGAGCCACTTTTCTGAAAAAATTATTTTCTTCGGCTCCGGTCCAGTTTGGCGTTTCTTTGTTAGTGGCTGAACGCCAAAGAAGCTGCCTCATGTTTGTTGTTTTTTTCGACATCTTCGACAGTAAAAACATGTGTTGATAAGGTGACGGTCAAGCAGTAAGTACGCAAATGCGCGTAGTAATATAATTGACGTTACACCTTCATTATTTGTGATGCGCATGTGTACCTGCGTACCAGTTATGTGCACCCCTGTTTATAGGGGAGTTCCGCTACAGCTTCATTTCCGATACGATACCGATCTTGCAGCTTTGAGAATCTACCGATATTGACCGGATCCAATATTAGCACAAATCAAACCAACTTCTATAACCTACTCTATACTGTAAATGATCAAGTAATATTTTTAAAACAGGGAACAAAAGGTATGAAAATAAATGAATTATATGAAATTAAAGATATGGAGGAGGATGTTCTTTTTCCAAGTGGATCATCAAAATAAGTGGTCCTCCTAGTTGTCAATCATTCTGGTAATATGTTAGTTGTTGGAAACCTCCTGCCACTAGAGGGGGCTACTGCTGCTGTTGGTGAGACGTGTCGTGTTCACTTCTTATTTTGACTGCTGAGTTGTGTTGTTGGTCTGGCTATCTCCATCTGGATTAAGTTCCTTTTTTTCTGTAATATCTCTGTAAGTAACGCCAACTGTCCAGACGCACTTTAAAACATAGCAATTTCTGCCTTCACAAGGTTTTATTTCTGGTAGTAAAGAGTAGCTAGCCTAGGATAGCGCTAGCTTATCATAGCTATGACTTCTTCCTCTCCCTCCCTTGATTCTTTTCGACTCTTTCTTCCTCCTCTACTCTCCCCTGCTCTCTGTGTAATTCATCTGTGTCCTTTAGTGATAATGGTATATGTAATAAGTGTGGTATTTTTTTTACTTTGCCAATGTGACAATAAGATTAATCGTCTTGATGCCAAAAAGAGCCCAATAGATTTTACTTTCACAAGTGGAGCAGTACTATTGCCATAGTGTTCTGCTTGATTTATGCATGCAAATAGATTTATTATATTTCATGCAGGGAGTATTACAGATTATATGGACACTGCAATGGGAAAATAGTACAGGAAAGGAAAAACAGGAAAAAGGAGAAAAAAATGAAAGAGAGAGAAGAGCCAGCCACCCCGAAGTGGAAACGGCCAGCGAACCCACGGGAACCCAAGGCCCATTGGGCACCCCGCCCCCCGGCGGGAGCCCAGACCGGGACGCCAGGAATAAGCCAGCACCCGCCCGGGTATCCACCTCCAAACACTGAGCACCACCAATGCCCCAGCAGGCCAAAGCACCAGCCAGCGGAGGGGGGCAAGATGGGGGAAATGGGCATCACACTTAGCGGACACCTGAGTAGGGTGACCAGACATCTCTGATTTCCGGAGGCAGTAGCCGTTTTCGAGGACTTGTCTCTGGCTAAAGCTATCCCCGGCAATGTCCCCAGATTTATGAATGAGGGGGAAAATGGTGCATATAAACTGTTACTATAGTAGAAAGCGTGCGCGAGCATGCTGCGCACAGAAACAGCAGTTTACATATAGATGAGGAGCACAGTGCACCAGTTTTAAAATAGACGAGGAAGTCCGTTATTACAGCCAGCTGGACGCAGCTATCCTGTGTTACCCCGAAATCCCACATCCTCCGTCACCACTCCAGACCTCCTGCACACAGCAAAGCCTACAGTGACACTGTTCCTCCTGTCTCGCTGCACTCCAACTTCCTCGGAGCTCAAGGAAAGCATGCGTGATATTATTATTAAGTTCATAGGATCAAAACATATGGAAATTAATGCTTAATTTAATGACATATAAAAAAAATCCCCAGCATTTAGAATATGTGCAATTTGTACCCAAATATTTTCTTTTTGTTGTGGATTTTTGTAACAGGGATAACTAGGATCATATAATCTTTATATTTACATCCTGTCGAAATAATAACAGCTTATTTAAAACAACAAACAGCTGTATCTATGAATAGAAAATGGGATTATGAAAATGTATTCCTGTTAGGTTTCACTATAACTTTACTAAAGGATACATAATTTTTATGCTGGCCCTGAGAGCTTATTTGTTATTCATCTATACATGTAAAACATGTATATTTTGGTGTGGCTGCTTCAAGCTGCTCATGGTTATATTTTTTATATTTATATTTTTTTTTTACAAAGCAGAGTGTGTATGACGTTATCCAAACGCTGGACTGGAGTTGTGACAGGCAGCCCGGGCCACAGGCGGCTACGCTCTACCCCTTCTATTCATTTGGCCACCTAATCTGAATCGTTCAATTTCATTTCGAGAACGAGATCATCTGTGGTAGTAGCACTAGACATCTTCAAGGCATGTGAGTAAAACTAGAAGCAGTTCAGCGGACAGGATGAATGAATGGTAGCCAGCGCGCGTAGATAACGTCATACACACTCCACTTTGTTTTAAAAAAATATAAATATAAAAAATATGACTGCGGATGTCTAGGAGACAGTGATTGGCCTACATGTTATGAATGCTGACGTACCATAAAGAATAAATTATGAACAGTTTAGTTTGTGCCTTCAAGTCGTTGCCCATAGGAAGATTAGGAAGATGTTACTCGGATATGACAAAACCGAATATCTTCGGAACAGCTCCAAATGACACAAAACTAATATGGGTGAGTAGAACATGATGTAATAACGTAAAATCAAGGGGCCAATGTAAAAAACCGGTGCGATGCACTGAGGAAGATGACTTCTGAAGATTTGTGCAGCAATAAGAGCACATTCTGTAGTTTTTTTTTTTTTGGACAGACATCTGGAAATGACTACAGAGCTGTTTACTTGATGAGAACTTGGCATTAATTGGCATTAAATTAGCCATGTGACCACTTAACATTCATTAGGGTATACAGTTGATGTCAGGAGAGGAGATTTGTTCTATGGGATACAGTCAGTCAGGGGGGTGTTATACGCAACATCAATTAGCTTTAACAGACATAAAAAGCTCCAACTGGCCAGGTCTGTTCAGTCGTCCATGCTGCATGGTGTTACGTTCTGCATTTTTTTCAGACACATTTTTATGCAGAGGTGTAATTACTTTAGAATCCACTACCCAAGTTTGGTTTCCAATATCTTTACCTTTCTCCATGCACTCAAGCACAAAGTGTGATAAAAGCCCAAATTAGAGGAGTGAATTAAAAGGTTCATAGAGGTGCTGCTGATATGCATTTCCCTTTGGAAGCAAGGTTGACAGAGAAGAAAATTATAAATGGACTTGCCTTCTCCTGATGTTTAACAGTCTTAATCTTCTTTTTTGGGACAAGGCTATATATTCCCATTTTCCTCTTCTTCTTTTTGTTCTTCTTTATAACTAAAGGAACAAATAAATCAGGCATCAACAATTTAATAAAAAGAAGTAATCATACTGCAAAGATCAATTCACTTCCAACAGTCTGCTGTCCAATCCTCTGAAACCGTTGGCTCATGGCTTTCTAGCACCAGATCAGCTTTGCATTGATTCGAGATATCACAACAGGATGATATATCATAATAAATATAAATTCAGTTCAGTTTGTTGTTTTCCATCCATCCATCCATCCCTCCATCCATCCATCCATCCATCCATCTCTTCCACTTATCCGGGGCTGGGCTGCAGAGGCAGCAGTCTAAGCAAAAATGCCCAGACTTCCTGATCCACGCACACTTCCTACTGCTGCTCTCATGGGAACCTGAGGCGACAAAAGGCCAGCTGAGAGACACAGTTCCTCCAGTGTGTCCTGGGCAATATGCCTGTTTGTTTTTTTCATCACATAAAATACCTTCACATGACACCTGGTCCACTGGTCACTGCAACGATCATGTCTTTAAAAACCTGCAGGAACCTTAATTTTAGACAAAGAATGTTTGTGATTGCTAAACTGTTATTATTCAAAATAAACATTGCAAAACATATCACACATTTGGGTTTTCCTGGAGCCCTTGAGAACACGCTCTCTCTCCTTTGGCCCTAGTAGTGATTTTAGTTAGTTTTTTTCTTAGCCGGACACAGAGCCTGTTTACTGAAACACGCGTCCTTGTGTCTGATGATGTCATGATCCAAATGGCAAAACTTATGAATCTCTAGACAATTTTTAGTTGCCTCTAGAGCCTTGTTAATGAATCATCCACATAGAGGTATTAGTATCAGACATGTCGAATAATTTCTCTTTTTTTATGCTTTGTGAGTTTATTCGAGGCAATTCAAATGTCCAAGCAAGAACTTAGATTAATCAAACACAAAATATATTTATGACTCTGTAAATTTGGCATTGTGTTTTCAAGGTCTCTTTAACATTGACAAAGTCACTAAGCTTTTTCACTGTGCAAATGAAATGCTACAAAACAAAATGGTTCCAACAAACCAGGGGTCTCCAGAGATTTTTTTAACACACAACTGAAAAATTAAATTAAAAACATGATACACTACTAATGTGTCAATCTCAAAATGTAATCACAGCTATGACCACTCTCATATTGGTATAAAAGGACACGATCTATGGATGAATTAGCTTCTTTGAATAGAAAACATTCTAATTACTAAGCTGCACAGCTGTTAGTAATGCAAAAATGTAGGGATGACCCCAATCTGGTATAGATATTGAAACACAGTCCAATATCAGCTGAAAAACGAATATAAGAATATCAGCCAGTATCTAATATGTTTGTAATCTTTTGGTTTAAAGTTTATGTAACCCATCAGTTAATCATGCATGGGTCAGTTCTCATGACTACTTATTGTTCTCTAAAGCCGGGCGTACACTGTGTTTTCTATTGTTGCACGCAGCTGCTGCTCACACTGTACGACTAATCGCAGGGTTTGGTCATACAGTTTAAAGGAGAAGTTCGGTTTTTTACACTTTAAGCCCATTTTCTGTAGTGTCCAGGATGAAATCGATTGATCGACACCAAAAGTTTGACAATTGCTCCTGTCTCTGCTTTTTGGCTCATTTAGAATCACCCCCTGGCTGCTTTAGAATAGCTTGCATAGAGCATGTCCGATTATGTCCTTAAAACAACCTTAAACGTTCTTTTTTTAAAATATGCTACTCACCGGGTCGTCAGCGCTGTTCAATGACGTTCCAAAAAAAGTTTCGTGAAGAAAAAACGTTCCTGTAGTGTTTTATTTAGCATTTTGTAAATCCCATTGAGTTCTGTAGGAATAGTCAATATTCCGCTGCCACCGGAAACGGAAATGGGGCCTGTTTACACAGTTGTAGTCTTTTCGCTTCACTCTGTGTACTCCGACGTCGAGGTGCTAACGTCTCTGTTAAACACTTTAAAAAACTCTGAAAATGGAATACGAAAGGTGAATTCTTGATTCTCGACGTCGGAGTACACAGAGTGAAGCGAAAAGACTACAACTGTGTAAACAGGCCCCATTTCCGTTTCCGGTGGCAGCGGAATATTGACTATTCCTACAGAACTCAATGGGATTTACAAAATGCTAAATAAAACACTACAGGAACGTTTTTTCTTCACGAAACTTTTTTTGGAACGTCATTGAACAGCGCTGACGACCCGGTGAGTAGCATATTTTAAAAAAAGAACGTTTAAGGTTGTTTTAAGGACATAATCGGACATGCTCTATGCAAGCTATTCTAAAGCAGCCAGGGGGTGATTCTAAATGAGCCAAAAAGCAGAGACAGGAGCAATTGTCAAACTTTTGGTGTCGATCATTCGATTTCATCCTGGACACTACAGAAAATGGGCTTAAAGTGTAAAAAACCGAACTTCTCCTTTAAGTTAACAGCTCACGATTTATGTTCAGCCCGCCGCTCTGATGCGATCTACCCGCTCACACTGTGCGACTAAAAACAACATCGGACTGAGCTCCGCTGTGAGATGGAGCTGCTCTGACTCCTCTATCCGGAAGCCAAACAAGTAGAGGGGGGTATTAACACTTAATATAGTGAACCGCGCTGCCCTGCCAATTTGTGCAATTTTGTGCTGAAAATCCTAAAAAGAAAAGGCGACGACGTATTTGAAAAAAAAAAACATGGCTGAGCAAACGTGGCTACTACGGTCTGTCAATTTTACAGAACTGCATTTCACTCATTGCATCGCTGCCACGCTGCTGTTTTTACATCTGAGAGGAAGAATAAAAAGAAAAATCCTTGTTTGCGCATGCGCCCTGAGCGATTTGCACACGATAGTCGGAGAATATCGAACATGTTTGATTTTCTCCTGACCTCACAATTCCTGAGCGGGAGTTGGTCGTGAGAGGCTGATCGCCGCTCGTAACCCCCTGTACACGACTCACGATCAGGCTGAGTCAGGCCGATCGAAAAATACTTGCATGACTGGAAAATAACCCCGAATATTGCACAGTGTACGCCGGGTTTAAATGACAATACATGATCAATCCTTTTCCTGACATTCCACTTTAAAAAATTAGTATAATAATAATAGTGTTGGGGAAAGCTAAGTGCTTACAGCTTCAAGCTTTCTCTCCTCAAACTTTCCTGATAAGAGATCACTTAGTAGAAAGACTTGAAAAAACACATTTGAATGTAAATATATTAAATGACTATTGAACATGATTGCAGGTTAAAGAGAATTCAGTCTTACTCAGACAAGATAGGATTCGATGGACACAATGGCAGTGCTTACCATCGGGTTCTTTTTTAAGAAAAAGGACCCAAATAACAGTTAAAATAATATTTTCATACATCTGCGGTTACACCCTGCCACATCATTACATCATACACGTTTCTAAATGAAGAGACATCACTGGCTCCACCCATATTGAGATATACACACTCTTCTAGATCAAGGATATTCAATTGCAAACTACCAGAGATTTTCTCAGTTAATGATAATTTAATCTGTCTTTAAATTAGCCTGTATACTTTATAGTGGTAAACCATGGGAAGGAAACATTCTAATACATTTACTATTCCCAATAGGAAAGTTATTTAATTGTTTAACAACCGTATAAATGAATGACAAAAAATAATCCTAACCAAATTATGTATGGTTTATATCTATACTGTATCAGGTATGGGTCAACACTCAAAGCTGAAATATCAGTATTGAATGGAAAATGAAAAAGTTGTATGAGGACAACTAAATACTTTGCACAAATATAGTGGCACATGGTGGGTCAAATTGCTTGCTAGGACTGCAGTGAAATGAATACAACTTGGGATGTTCAAGGGTACAGTGTGAGGTAAAGTGTAGGGCTGCAACAACGAATCGATAAAATCAATAAAAATCGGCTTTTAAAAGCGTGGGCAACGAATTTCATCATCGATTAGTTGTGTCGGGCGATTAATGCGTCATCCGCCGCCGTCGTCATCACTGCCACTTGATTGAAACGCGGGAAGAAAAAAAATACGTCAGAGCGAGCCAGCGCCGAAAGGTGAGCAAAGGCGGTTTTCAAAAGGCAGTAACTTCAATTGTTCTAATGACCGATACCGCAAACGCAAGCTGCGTCTCAATTCGCAGACAGCCTGCGCTTTGTAAAGCAAAAAAAGTCGTAACATGCAACTTTTGTAAAAATAAATTAACATGGCACGGAAGCACCACAGTTATGATAGAGCACCTGAAAAGGAAACCCGTTGGAGCCTTCGATGGCAGTGAGGAGAACTGATCAGCAGGGTGAATGTTTCATGTTAAAGTGGGGAAACGTAACGTTAGTTTCTCAGGTAGCTCCTCTGATGCTTTCCTTACCTTGTTAGTAGGTTACAGACAGTGATAAGGTTGGCTACTTATTTTACTTTTAATTTCATTTGAATTAGCTTAAGCAGCGTTTATATTTTCTTTATAAATAAATTAACTTGCAAATTATGAGGGCAAAGTTTAAATCTTCTGTCAAAGATAAAGTAAAGAAGATCCTGCAATTTATGGAAGTAAAGCAGAATAAAATCCAGCAAGATCAGTAATATGTCAATTAATTATATGCCACATTCCCATGTAAATATCTGTCTTTGGAGGATGTGTTTTTTAGCACCCCTAGTTCTCTCATTTTTATTCCAAATACAATTTATAATTTGAATCACAGGGCTATTTTTATCTCTATGGTTAAGTACCGTATTTTCCGTATTTTGAGGTTAAGTACCGTATTTTTACGACTATAAGGCGCATATAAACGTCTTTTTTTCCCCCTCAAAATGTGCGGCGCGCCCTTTGGTGCGGTGCGCCCTATGTGTGTTGTTACTGCGGACTTTTGAGACCACCTCATTGAGGAGATGATGAAAGGCTGAGGGAACTGAATGTAAGGAGACCTGGTGGTTTTCTTCCACTCATCACCATTGCTGTTAATCTGTGACTCCATGCGTGCCCATCTCACAGCTGATGTGAAAAACATGGTGAAACATATGAACACTGTGCTTGCTGTTATTCAACCGCTCGACATTGGTGTGAACCGGACGCAGCAGGTGCAGCAGAAGCAGCGACTTTACATGCAAAGTCGATGGTTGACGCGCGTATAGACGCAGCAAAAGGTCCAGCAGCGCGTTTTGAGCAGCAAGCGCAGCCGCCAATGCACTGCTACTGCTCGAGATGGAAAAATTGAAGTTTTGCTGCTGGACGTGCCGCATCAACCAATCAGAGAAGCTGATCTGGGAGCTGACAGCGAGACAGACACATCGCTGATGATAGACATATACAGAGCGCTGTGATCGCTCCTCTGAAACAGTTTATTGACGCCTAAATTAACTTAACCTGCCGACAGAATATGTTCGCTTTTATTATCCAGTTTTCAGATGGATTTTCCCACTTAAAAACATATTAAAACTACTTTATTCCCACTGATCACAGCAAATATAGCTGCGAGGTGTATTTAACACAAAGTATTAATAAAACCTGGGAGCTGGCCGTGAGATAGACACATCGCTCTGATGACATATGATATTAAGGCAAATGAAAAGGGTTGGATGGATGAGGAGATGATGAAAGCGTGGCTGAGGCAGGTGTATGTGAGGAGACCAGGTGTTTTTTTCCACGCATCACCATTGCTGTTAATCTGTGACTCCATGCGTGCCCATCTCACAGCCGATGTGAAAAAAAAGGTGAATCAAATTAACGCTGTGCTCACCGTTATCCCAGGGATTTGACAAAGGAACTTCAACCGCTCGACATCGGTGTGAACCGGCCGTTCAAAGTAAGGCTGCGAGCGGCGTGGGAGCGATGGATGACAGACTGAGACCACAGTTTCACGAAAAGTGGAAGGCTAGTTACGCCACCGTTTGCGGATGGATTGTTGATGCTTGGACTAACGTGTCTGCTGGCACTGTTGTTCGAGCTTTAGGAAAAGCCGGCATCATTTCCGAGGAGCCGCCCGACACGGAAAGTGACTCTGACAGCGAAGAAGGGGAAACTGGCATGTCTGATTTAGCACAGCTGTTTAATTCAGAAACAGAGGATGATGACTTTGATGGGTTTGATTAATACTTTGTAATAAATACTAGAATAAAGCACAATCATACTCAGTTTTGCTCCCGCTCTATTTTCTACCTGAAAACTTAATTCAACAGCAGCCTCTGGACAGGTGTTTTTCATCTAAATAATCTAAACTGCAGGCAGCAGGATAATAAAAGCGAACATATTCTGTCAGCAGGTTTCAGGATTTTAAGTTAATTTATGCTTCAATAAACTGTTTCAGAGGAGTGATCACAGCCCTGTGTCATCAGCGATGTTTATTGACGAAATAAATGAAAAGGGCTGGAAGGATGAGGAGATGATGAAAGCGTGGCTGAGGGAGGTGTATGTGCTAGTATATGCGTCAATAAACTGTTTCAGAGGAGTGATCACAGCCCTGTGTCATCAGCGATGTGTCTGTCTCACGGCCAGCTCCCAGGTTTGATTAATACTCCCGCTCTATTTTTAACTACGCAGTAGAGGTATTTAAATGTAGTAGAGGACATGTACCTGTATATAAAAAACGCGCCCTATAGTCCGGTGCACCTTATGTGTGTGTTAAATACAGTAATGACACATATAACTGAGACTGCGCCTTTTAGTACGGTGCGCCTTGCATATAGCTCAAAAGGACATTAGCCTCCAGAGGGCCGGCATGCCCACCCTACTAGAGGCTTAAGCTCTTCATGGATTCTACTCAAATTAGTATCCTTGCTAGAGATTTATGCTGCAGCAAGCTGGACGTCATCTGGGCATCATCATGTTTACTCAGTTTTACAAACTTGATGTCACAGCTCCATCACCGGCGCATTCAGTACTAAGTGTAACACCAAGCACTTATGAAAAAAATTATAATAATATTCATAAAAGAGACAGCAGGGAGTCACAATATGTTTTGTTCCCAATATGAGACACGAAACGAATGCTATGAAAGGGGTTACTTTCGTTACCTCGGTTCTCAGAGTAGCACGAGTGAGCGTCTCACCAAATCATCCTCCTTGCTGTAACATTGCAAGAAGGAAGTGATCGTTTCTGAATAACTCTCAGCGCAGTATCTGCCTAATATATGGGGGGAGGGACTCTGCCCTCTCTGACACCGACAGGTTTATTTTCCAGCCAGTCCTGGCTGGGGTATTGTAAAAAGGAGCTTTTGATGAAGTCGCGCTGAAGTCGTTGCCAATATGAAACACACACTCATGCTACTCAGAGAACCAAGGTTATTAAAGTACTCTAAAGTTCTCCGTACCGCACGTTTTTGTGTGAAAGCTGCTTACTCCCCAGATGTAATAAATGCTTGAAAATTCAAACCAAAAAAGGAAGAATTACTATCTACATACTGTTGCTGCTGATCATGTGACATCAAATCCTATTTTCAATTAGATCAAAATAGAAACTTAATTGTAATATAATATTTTGGCGGGGCAAGAATTATTGTTTTGACTGAAACACTTTGTATAGGTAAACACATTAATAGTCTTAATTAGGTTTTTTTTTTTAGATGGATGGATGGATAAATAGAAAATAGGAAAAAAGCATCAACCAACCTATCTTAGCTTGCGTAGAGGCAGACACCTCAATCCCCATCCCCTGTTGGTTCAGATGAGGCTCTGCAGTGAATGGTGCTTGAGGTATGTTGTCCTTTGGTGTTGGCTTTGGTGTCTTTCTACCAGAGGTCTTTAATATGAAAAAGAGACATGGATAATTTTTGATTAAAAAAAAAAGCTTTTATCAAATAACTTAGCAGAATATCTACCTCCCCTCCAATAGTTACAGTATTCCACAGCTGTAATATTTTTAGTGTATACATCAGAGAAAAAATATTAGTAGTACTAGCATTTAGCTGGCACACCTGACCATAACTGACTGTGGAAACTTTAAACTGGACTTCAAGCAATGTAGATTCTGTCCCTCTAAACTCTTCCTTCAGACACCGGGAACTAGATTTCTTAGTGAAAGATCAACTTTACTTTAAACTAAAAGACGACTTTGGACCAATAAGCAATGGCTCTGATTTGTTTTATCCTATTACAGGTAAGACACCAGAATCCAATGTGTGGTTTATCTGTGCCTCTTGGATCTTCATGTGCTGACTTCATTCTCAAGCCACTCCAGATTACAAGTATTAAAAAAAAATCTGTGCAATAAATCTATATAATGAGTTTTGATTTCTAAAATGAGAACATTGCATTTTTTGTAAATTTTCTGTAGATGCAAAACTCGCTGTTATATATAAAGCTATTTACATGGTAGTTACCTTGCTGAAAGAATCTGAATGTTGTGCTTCTCCCTCTTGCATAGCCTCTGCTGAACCTGAAGATGGAACCAGTTGCCTGGAGTTTGTAGCTGTCGCAGCAGCAGTAACATTGCCTTGAGGAGGCTGTTCAATGTCTTTAGTAGCCAGTCCTACAGCAAAGGCTGATATCAAACTACAACGAGGTGGCAGCTCTTTCCCAGCAGATACTTGTGCAACTTTTCTCTGCAAATCACTATTGTTACTGATTATAGGGGACCTATGGAAAGGAGTCAATGTAAATTTAGCCTTTTGATTAATCTTAGCTTCTTTTCCTTTGGGGGTTGTAGAACCAGGGCTGGGGGACCTCTTCAGTTCAGCGGCCATATGGTTTCCATTGGTCTCCATTGCTGTTAAGAGAAAGCATATTTATGTGTCTGATTGACACTTGTTTGATCACCAAAACAAAGAGTATTGCTGTTAGGCTCCTAAGAAAGACAAGGAAATAAATGAAACAAAAATAACTGAATTTAGATTCATACCCTAAGCGGGCCTACTATCTCAGTTATCTAGTAATCCTGTGTGTTTGGATTGTTATAGATACAGCAACATCCATTCATCCATCCATCTATCTATCTACGCTCTCCGTAGTTCCCCTGTGGCACGAGCACAGGGCGGCTGTTACGCGTCTTTAGCGAGCATGCGCGTTTCCTGTAGCTTGCGTGGTGAATCGTGCATCCTGCGCTGTGCGGAGATGCAGGGGAAACCGTATCTGTTGGGGAAATGCAGCTCGACGTAACACCGGTATCACTGTGAAACAGGCACGTGCAGAGGGGGGGGCTAAGGGGGCTTGAGCACCTGCCCCTTTTGCTCCATGATCCCAATGTGCCCTTTTGGTCCCTTTTTTTATTTTTTTATTTGACACATGTACTGAAATTATTATTATTATCTTTTTTTTTTGGCAAGAAAAACAATACAATAAGCCCTCCGGTCACATTGTTACCTTTGACCTTTTGCCGGTGACGACGCACTTGCCTCTCACACAGTCAGATAAGGCGGCTAACTGCGGAGCTAAAGGTAGCGAATATTCCACATTACACTGTGGCCGCTGCTCATTTGGCCCTAAGCAAGATCAACCATGATCGGTTGTTCTGTAATGATTACAGAACAGTTTTTTTGTGAATTAAAAAACATAATTTTTGGTGAAAATACTGGAGTAGGCTTCCTACTTGTCAGACAACGGAAAACTTTGAAAGTTGTATAATTTCTCTACTTTAGCAAAGAGTAGCGGTTTAAACGGAGGAAAGTATAGGAGGCGGCGCGCCTTTCTCTGAAGAACTACTGAGCGGGAGGAGACAGCCAGGTGAGGAAAAGCTGTTCTTATCTATCGATTCAGTATTTTTATCATACAGACATTAGGCTGTTGTTCTTGTGCTATGAGCTACCTGCTAGCTAATGACTTTGCTAGCAAAGCAAGATAACTAAAAAGCTTCCCTGTGTCGTTGATGATAATAGGACATTCTTCAGTATTAGTTATGCAATAGGGGCACATCGCCCGTCAAAAACCTATCATCTCCATAATGGATATATGTCTGATTTTCTAATTTCCTTTGCAGCATGATGTACATTGCATTTATTCTAGCGTTAGGTAAATGTATCTTAAAGGAGAACTCATCTAGAACTACCATGATAGATATATGATAGATATAATGTATGAAGCTGGTGAAAACAAAACTGTGCAGCTTATGCAAGGAGGATTGGTTGTCAGGCCTTCTTTTGTTGGCAATCAAGTAGGATGTGCCAATCATTCACAGTGAGGTTATTAACATTTTTAAAGACATGGCTAACAGAAAACTGCTGCTGTGAACAAAAGAGAACAAAAATGCTTAAAAGTTAGAAATTTGTTTTTAAACAGTTAAATCACCATGACGGAAAATAAGTTTTTGGATCATAATCTTGGATTTAGTTTGGGGGAAAAAGAAAGGCAAGAGACTGAAATAAATAAGACATTGACCTTCACTCAACACAGAAAAGATGAGACAATGAGGAAAAAAAGAGAAGAGAAACTGACAAGAAAAAACGAAGAGGAAAGATTGAAGAAAATGTATATAGGTACTTAGAAAATACACTAAGACACAAACAGAGTAGGCTTTTCTCATGGTGACATGCATTAATAAAATGTTTGTTTTGTTCTTTTTTTTCTGCAGTTCCACGTTAAAGTTTGATGCAGCAGCTCTGCTTTTCTGAATGGACCGTCTCCATCTCCACTGTCAGTACAGCAAACCAGGCAGACATTCTTTTTTATAGATTACAGTACACTAAAAGGTTGCATTTTGCCCTTGTATGCATTTTTAACAGTTTAATTCTGTAAAGACAAAATATGTCTGGTGGTCCAGCTCTGATTTACATCTTTGGCTAAATTGCAGGTTTGAATATTGTAATACTTTCCTATAACAAAATAGACCTGCAGAAAGAAATTACTAATAAAATATTTTACATATGCATAGTTCTATGTTCTATGTAGAGATTTCCCTTAGCTTTGATTGTATGTCTCACAATTTTGTAATTTATCATTGTTCATTAAACTCTGAAAGCTATGTGACTTTGTTAATATTCTGTCCTAAAATGCGATAAGATGTGCCCTTTTTCTTTTGAGCACCTGCCCCTTTAGTGGTCTCTGCACGGCCCTGCTGTGAAACCATTCTACAAGTGGCAGTGGCATTACTGACACGCTTTTCAAACTGAGTTTCTGTACTGAGGCTATTTATATCTTCAATTTGGTCTCTTTCGTTTCACATTTCATCCAATGTACCCCATATAATCTATGACCGCTGCCTGTTCAGAAAGCACCGCTGCAGCGCCAACTTCAGCCGCATACTTTACCGAAAACACAAACTTTCTACAGTACGGTATGCGATGAAGTCATACGCTTGAAATAAGCAACGAAACAACGGGTGCCATCTTTGTTTTGTTTAAGAAGGGGAGGCAGACTTTGGAAAGTAGCTATTTCAATTGGATTAGTTCGTTTTTATCCCGAATAGCGACTCGAGTGTCTGCAGTATTTAAACAATAGAAGCAGTTCTTAAATCGTCTCTATACGAGTTCAAAAGTAAAGCATGTGGAACTCTACCTAAAGAAGGAATAATCCAACTAGAACGTCGTGTTAGAAAACTACAGCTAATAGGTGAATCATAAAATGAAGGCTTAAATAAGAAAGGTTAAAAAAAAAAACATAGCAAGGTTTCAACTAACCAGTAGGAGAAACGTAGAGAGCAGCAAGCACACTGTGTACGGAATGCCTCAAGGGTCATGTTTAGCGCAATTCCTCCTGAAATTACTAGAACAGAAACTATATATTTAAAGATATTTGAAATCTTTTTAAAGGTGGCCGGTGTAACATCGATGTAACAACGGATTATTCCCTGTTCGTATCATCTTCTGATTGGACTTTATAGCATTTATTTGCACCATTATTATTTTTGCAACGCTACCGTTCATTGTTATGCACACATTTTTTTCATTCTTCTGCATGCTAAAAAAACAAAACAAAAAACTGTTTTTCTCCTTGCTCTGGTATATCTTTATTACTGCCGCACTTTATATTGTGATGTTATTTAATTCAACTCCAGTCCCTTTACTTGTCGTAAGCTGCATGCACTCTATGTTTACAAGTTTGTCTTAGTCTAATTACAATAAAGCCATTTATTTATTTTTAAACTGATTAAAACTAGAATTAGGCAATAACTTGCATTTGCAATATCATTGCGATTTTACAAAACGCAATTTTCAAATTGCAAACGCACATTTATGGGCGTTAGACACTCTCACCTTAGTCCTTTAGGTGGCGATAATACGCTTAAAGTGGGCTTTTCTTGCCTAGATAGCTTCTTTTTTAAAGTTATTTACTAAAAAGAAGTTCAAAGAAGGAAGCGTTTGGAAATTATCAGTTGTCCTACTCAACGGTGTGGAAAGCAGTGGCATATTCAGAAATGAAAGACAACATTTGAATAAAATAAAAGTCACCAAAATAGAAAAAACATACGAGTGTATGTTTTAGTATCAATGTGCATTAGTGAGTAGTACATTAGCATTTCATATAACATAACATTTATAATATATATATAACATTTCTTCTTTATGTGTTTGAGACATTTCAAGAAAATGTTAAAAACTGGAGATGATCTAAGGTTATTTTCTGTTTTTGAAAAATAATGATACAATATAATTAAATATTTTTTTGTCTTTCAATATTATCATTGGTTCAGGAAGTGTAATTTTTTGTCCGAACCATCTTTCTAAGGATTTCCAGAATATTTTGGTTTTGTTGCATGTATTATTGAAAGCATGGTCTGTTATTTCACATGATTATCATTTACTTTGATAAATATTGTGACAAATTTTTAGTAATTCTTTGGAAGTGTAAATAGCATTTGAATTTTAAAGAGTGTGTCCTCAGCTTTTAATTATGTAGGGCTTTCAGTTAGACTAAAATTTCAATCGATTTCTTTATCATATAATACCATTTTTTATCATACCATTATAGGCCTTATTTTGTTTATCATACCAGTGAGTACAGTTTTGATTAAACTGTTTCTAATTGTACTAGTTATTGAATTTTGAGAGGTTGCAGGACGATGAGCTTTTACATTTTCAGTCTAATTAATTCATTCTTCTGGCAGGGCTTTGAGTAATCTGGTTACTTCAGCTGTATAAAGGGTTATATTTGCAATGGTCACAGTGGTCAGTTGCAACAGCTAGTGATTAACAATACAAATCATCAAATTATTGGCTTATTCAACTATTTTCCCTAACTGTTTGTCCTTTTCCTGTCTCGAGCATACTTAGGGGAAAGAAGAGAAGATGGAGGATATAAAAAACATGGATTAAGCCTTTAAAGATCAATTTGATGTTAAATAACTCTCCTTTATTGCTTTATATTGGAATGCTGCAAATTACACAGTTGAAGCAATTGTACACCGTTTCTATATGTTCATCCATAAGGGTTTGAATTCTGCAACTTAATGACTTGTAATCTGCTGAGTTTTTTTAAGATATAAACATTTTAACCAATCTGTATAAATTGGTTTAACTGACTCTTTAAGGGCCTTGATATGAGCTGTTGAGATCATCAGTATATAAATAATAGAGGTCTAATGAAAGATCAATCCATACCGATGTATTGATTAAATTAACATTCCAACTATATTTATAGGAAATAAAAACATTGATTCAAATTTAATACATACCTTTATTTTGAAATTCACAAGGTGAGAGACAACAGTGAAAAGGCTAGCAATCCATATAATAGGAAACACTTTTTTATCTAAATGATCAATGCATGTAAGTGCTTAGAAATAAAATAGTCAAATCATTTTTTTCTTTATTTGGTGAGCTGATATGAATCAAAATAATTGTGTTAGATGTGCAGATTATGTCACACTTCATAGATATTTGCATTTATTAAATAGAAACCTTACATCATTTTGAGAAAGTCTTTTTTATGCTGCTGAAAAAGGGCAGTATTGGCTGGGTTCGCTAAATGTTTAAGCTAGGGTTAGTCTGACTGCACAAGAGGACCAGCCAATCTTATCTATGCAAGGACTCCTGTCTTTGAAGAGGCCATCGATAATGGTGCGATTTGCAAACTCGCTAGTTTCACAGAT